TAGCGCTGACCAAGACGTACGCCACCGCCGAGCCCTTCATTGATGCCAAATATGATGTGCGCGTCCAGAAGATCGGGCAGAACTACAAAGCCTACATGTGAGTGAAGAGACCAGGGCCAGGGTCGGGGTCCCCTGCCCTGGGCAGCCCAGGCTCCCCTGAGCTTCTGTCCTCTCTCCTCTTGCCCCCCACCCCAGGAGGACGTCAGTGTCAGGAAACTGGAAGACCAACACCGGCTCTGCGATGCTCGAGCAGATTGCCATGTCTGATAGGTAGGGGTGGCCCAGGCCTGGCTGGAGGGCAGGTTGAGGAGGGGGGTAAGCGTGGCACACCCCAAGCCAGGCACTGACAGGCTGCCTTGCTCCCCATCTCGGCAGGTACAAGCTATGGGTGGATACATGCTCAGAGATTTTTGGGGGACTGGACATCTGCGCAGTAGAAGCACTGCACGGCAAGGACGGAAGGGATCACATCATTGAGGTGGGAGCACCCAGAAAGTGGTGGGGGTACGGAGGGAGCGGCGGGCGCATGGTAGTGACTGAACCCTGCAGCTCTCCATGGCCCAGCAGGGGGCTACTAAAGCCCTCTGCAAACTGTAAAACACCTTATAAAGTAGGAAATGCCACGTGAACAGCAAAGTGTTTTATAAAACTATTTTTTTTTTAAAAAGGGAGCTCTGTAAACTGGGAGGGAGGTCCCTGTTATCGGAGCAAAGCACTTCAACATTCCAGAGTTCTTTATAGACAGCTGTGCCTCTGGGAAACAGTAAAGCCATTTATAAACTCTAAAGCTCCTTGAAAAGTGGAGGGCTTGGTAAACGGTAGGTAGCACTTTATCCGTGGTAAGGCATTTTATAAACAGTGGTGCCCTTGCAAAGCACTTTCCAAAGTCTAAACACACCATGTATCCCCTAGTCCCTTGGAAAGGACAGCGGCTTTGTAAACTGTAAAGCACCATACAAGCCACAGAGTTCTTCGTGAACAATCAAGCACCGAGCACACTGTAAAGCAGGGGTTGGTAAAGGTTTTCTGTCAAGAGCCAGACAGCGCACATTTCAGGCTTTGTGGGCTGTATGGTCTCTGTTGCAGCCGCTCTGCAAAAGCAGCTGAAGTCAATATGTTAAAAGAAAGAAACAAAGAGAGAGAAAAAAAGGCACGGCTGTGTTCCCCTAAAACTGTATGGACATAGACATTTAAACTTCATATATTTTCACGCGGCATGGAATCTTCTTGTGATTTTTTTTCCCCCAACAATTAAAAAATGTAAAACCCAACCCTTAGCTTGCAGGGGTCATCCCCAAACGTGGGGGTGTGTGTGCAAATTTGGCCCCACACCCCACGGGCCTGATCAAGGAACTCTACTCTGCGCTGTAGGCCCCCCACCCCCCTTCCTGAGCTGTAAGTTACCTTGTGAACAACAGGCCTTCCTCACACCGCAGAACTCATGTCTCTCAGCCTGAATCTGCTTCTTTGGCAGCAGCCCATGCCTTTCAAAACAGAAGGCGCTTTGTCACTGTCACCCTCCCAGGGACCTGCCGCCTCTCTCCTCACTGGACCCCATTTCCTTCCCTAGGTGGTGGGCTCCTCCATGCCGCTCATCGGGGACCACCAAGATGAAGACAAGCAGCTCATCGTCGAGCTGGTGGTCAACAAGATGGCCCAGGCCCTGCCCAGGCAGCGGCAGCGGGATGCCTCCCCTGGCCGGGGGTCCCACAGCCAGGTCAGGCCCCCAGTGCTGGGAGAGGGCCAGGCTGGCCTGAGGAGGCTGGTGGCGGGCCGGCCAGCTCCGGGTCACACCACCAGAGCTAATCAGCAGCAGGCAGAGGGCACAGCCATGACCCATGTGTGGCGGCAATGACCAGTGGTTTTAAAACATGATAAAACAGCCGCTATCCTGATTCCCCCCACCCTGAGTGCCTCCCAGCCACCCCCTGGGAACTAGCCCCCAGCCAAACACACACAGCCCCACATCCCCTCCGCTCAGCCACAGACGGCTCAGCCACAGACGTGGCAACACCCAGCACAGGGGGAGCCCGTGTCATTTTGATTGGCTGAGGCTCAGGCTGGCTGGTAACTATTTTGAACCTCTCCTGCTCTGCTCCTCTGCCGCAGACTCCATCCCCAGGGGCCCTGCCCTTGGGCCGCCAGACCTCCCAGCAGCCCTCGGGGCCTCCGGCTCAGCAACGACCCCCACCACAGGGTAAGTGAGGGACCAGCTTCCAGGGCCCCTACAGGACTGGCAACCAACCCCCCCTCCCCACGCCTCTCACGTGTGCACTTTTTCTGTCCCTCAGGTGGCCCTCCACAGCCGGGCCCAGGCCCGCAACGCCAGGGACCCCCGCTGCAGCAGCGCCCGCCCCCACAGGGCCAGCAGCACCTTTCGGGCCTCGGACCCCCAGCTGGCAGTCCCCTGCCCCAGCGCCTACCAAGTCCCACATCAGCACCCCAGCAGCCTGTGTCCCAGGCCCCACCAATGACCCAGGGTCAAGGCCGCCAATCCCGGCCGGTGGCAGGAGGCCCTGGGGCACCTCCAGCAGCCCGCCCCCCTGCCTCCCCATCTCCCCAGCGCCAGGCGGGACCCCCACAGGCTACCCGTCAGACATCCGTCTCTGGTCAGGCTCCGCCAAAGGCCTCGGGGGCCCCGCCGAGCGGTCAGCAGCGCCAGGGCCCACCCCAGAAACCCCCGGGCCCTGCCGGCCCCACACGCCAGGCCAGCCAGGCGGGTCCCATGCCCCGCACTGGGCCACCCACCACGCAGCAGCCTCGGCCCAGTGGCCCGGGCCCTGCTGGACGACCCACCAAGCCACAGCTGGCCCAGAAACCCAGCCAGGACGTGCCACCACCCGCCACTGCCGGGGGACCCCCGCATCCCCAGCTCAAGTAAGAGGACCCCACGGCAGCCCTCGCCTTGCTGCTCACTTAAAACAAGCTCCCGAACCAGGAGAGTGGCCCCAGCTCCCAGGCTCCTCGGACCCAGGTCCCATACGGGGAGTTCCGAGAGTTCATCTCCAGTCTGAGCAGAACCCTCCTCTGAGCTATCCACCCCCCAACCTCACCCCAGTTCCTGGGGGCTCCTGCCCTCCATCCCAGAGATTCATTCCAGAATTCCAGAGAATCTTGTTTTTCTTTTTGTCCTCCAAATAGGCCCCTGGGAAAGCCCCCTCCCCCAGCCCCTCTAGGCCCAACCCAGGCGCCTTGCTGACCCTCCCTGAGTATCTCCCTGCCCAGCAGATCTTCCTCCCCGCCTGTCTGGAGCCTTCCGAGCAAAACGCACCCTTCTCCTGCCCAAACGGACTCCTCCCAGGCAAACCCCCAAACTCCTCCCGGCCCAATTCACAGTCCTCCAATCACTTTGTGCTCTTCCCAGCTGCCCTCATGCTTTCCCTAGGCTCCTTTCTGGGCCATCTCAGTCTCCCCCCAAATCATCACACCGCCCTCTCTACCTTTTCTGGTCCACTCCAGACCTCCCCCGCACCTTAGCTCGAAACTCCTCCGTGCCACAAACAACCACTCCCCTAAGGGAGACCCCCGCACCCTCCACCAGCCTGTCCTGGGTGCATACCCCACCGCCCTCCCTCCGGGACTCCTCACCCAGACTGGAAAGCTCCCTGCCGGTCTTTACCTGCCACTCCTCCCAGTCCAGCCTAGAATGTGGAGGCGGTTCAGCCCAGGGCTCTTCCCACTAAGCCCCGACTTCCCCCTAGACCCAAGTCCTCCCAGCCTGGCCCAGGGCTCCCCCACTCCACCTGAGGATCCATCAGGGTCCAGGCCTGTGGTGGTGGGGGGCGGGTCACAGGCACAGCCCCAGGACTAGAGGGGCAGGGCTGGGCCGGGCCTGGGGTAACATTATGTTTCTCTCCCCTTCCTCCCTTCCTCCCCCCCCCTTCCTCCCATGCCTCCACCTTGTCTCTCTCTAGCAAATCCCAGTCTCTGACCAATGCCTTCAACCTTCCAGAACCAGCCCCGCCCAGGCCCAGCCTTAGCCAGGACGAGGTGAAAGCTGAGACCATCCGCAGCCTGAGGAAGTCTTTCGCCAGCCTCTTCTCCGACTGACACCCCACCCTGAGAACCCTTAATTCCTCCTGGGCAACCCCTCTCTGGGCCCTGAATCCATTTCTCACTTTTGGAGTCTCCAAATCCCTTGAGAAGCCCTCTCCTGGTCCGAGACCCCTCTTCTCACTCCGCTGAATGCCCTATTCCCTGGGGAAACCTCACTCTTGGTCCTAACTCCAACTCCCACTTTTGGAATCCCCAAGTCCCTTTAAAAGCCCAGTCCCCGCCACCTCAAGACTTTTCAGTTTTAGAACCTCCAAATTCCTGAAGACCTCTATTCCTGGCCCCCCAGAGTGCACTTTCCTTCCCAGAAGCTCCCAAATACCAGGCAACCCGTTCTGGCCCTCACACCACTCAGTCCCCTCCCGGAGCCCTGGAATTCTCGGAAAACCGTACTCCTGGATCTCTCAAGTATGACTTGTTCCCCATCAGAATTTCCGAAATCCTTAAGAAACCCCTGCCCTGGAGCCCCTCCATGGATGTCCCATCTCTGGAGAGCCGCCTCATCAGATGCCACTATCCAGCCCCACAAAGATTTCTCCTAACCGCCCCCAGCCCCTTTCCGACACACTGGGAGGTCCTCCCACTGCTAGGACCCTTCTGTTCCCCAGGGACCCATACTCCCACTTTCCTGCCTCTGACAGCTATCTTTAAATATGCAAACTCTAACCATCCTCCCAGAATCCTTTGCACATGGAGGGCCAGTGGTCCTCCACTTCCCCACCTTTGCCGTGATGTCTGTGTCTGTGACTGACGTGGCCTCCTCTTGTGCCGTGCTTGGCATATGTGGTCTTCGTTCATCGTGCCGCCTGTGGTGATGCGTGCAGTGGCGCTGTTTGTGTGGTCCGCACTCCCCCCCTCCAACCACTCCTTGCCTGGACTCACCCCCACCCTTCAGCGGCTCTGAACCCCATGAGAAGAGTCAGGAAGCAAAATAAACAAGCAAAGGCCCAGCAGAATTCTGTGCTTCTTGGTAAAGAGGGGAGTCCTTGAATGGTGGGGAAGACACAGAGGGGACCCCCCTAAATCCACAGGGGGGTGCTGGGGACCCCAAAATCCAGTGGAAGGCACATCAGGCACAAATTCCAGAGAGGTTCTGAGTGGAACCCCTGCCACAAATCCCAGCCATTGCAGATGGAGGAGCTCCCAAATTTAGAAGTATCCCCAAAGCCAAGAGGAAACCAAATTAAGAGGAAGCAGGGGTGTTGGTCTTTGGGGGTCCCCCAATTCCAGAGGAGCTGGAAAAGCACATGGGGACACCCTCATCTCCCAGGACGGGGATGGGGGGATCCTGAGGCAGTTATCAGGGCAGAAACAGAACATTGGCTGGCTGGTGGGCAGGGCTCCTTGGCGTGGCAGGCTGAGATGGGTTCCCTGGCCACTGGGGGCAGGGCCTAAGGCACGAGGCGGGCCGCGCTGAGGAGGCAGGCAGGCAACTCATCGGCCTGGGTGCGGTGCAAGGAGGGTTCAGAGGCACTCCGCTCAATCTTGGGGAGTGACCGCTGCAGCAGCTCAATCGTGGCCAGGATCTGGGGGCAGGGGCAGGTTAGGGGGGGTGTCCAGAGCCATGTAGGCACCCTGACAGCCACAAACCCCAGCCTACAGGGGAAGCACACATGCGCGCGCACACACACACACACACACACACACACACACACTCACACCATTCGCTTCCCATGGACACCTCAGAGTCATCCTCCTCCTCAGACTCACCCTCCCCAGTGCGTCCAACCCTCCTGCCCGGCCCACCTGGGGGAAGAGGGGACGTTCCTCCCGCTGGAACTTGAGGCAGTCAGACAGCAGGCGCCGCATGGCCTTGGGGCAGTTGCTGGAGATTTTGCTGAGGTCCGGGGACAGATAGCCACGGCCCACCATAAAGATAATCTGGAGGGACAGGAATGGGGTGGTTTGGAGGTGTGGGCTGGGAGGCTGAGGGAATTGTGGCTCTAAAGGGGCTTTGGGGGCTCCTTTTGGGGGGAAACTAGGGCACTCTGGGTATTGGGATCTGGAGTGCTATGGGGATGCAGTGGATCCAAGGACACTGGGTCTCTGACCACAGGGCTTCTCTGCAGAACAGAGGGACTGAAGCTTGGGGGAAATCCAAAATTACAGGTATCCCTGACCTCACAGGTTTCTGGGGGCTTACAAGCCTACTGAGTCAGGGGAAACATGAAGTTCTGGGTCTGGGAGGAGCTAGGGGAGTCAAAACCTCAGGGGCCTGTATTTCTGCAGGGGTCTGAGGCCTAGAGAACTACGGGTCCATGTGGCCTGTAGGATTGTGAGTGCTCGGTTCTTAGAGCCTAGAGGACCCCAGGTTTTTGAGGGCCTGGAAGATTCCAGGCCTTCAACCTGGAGAACTCGGGAGAGCCTGGGGCCCAGAGTACCATGGGTTCCAGGGCCCCGAAAGCCTGGCAGATACCCAAGGCCTGAATGAATGACTGTGGGTATCTGTGAGTAGTCCAGAAGCACAGGCGGCTTCTGTCATTGGGAGAAATGGGATGCTGGGCTTTGGGACTTGGGAGATTTGGAGCACTGTAGGTACTGGAGGACTGTAGGTATCCAGAGTCCTAGAGGGCTTCTGGGTGTCTGGGGGCCATGGCGGGTTCTGGGTAGAAGGGATTCCGGGGGTTCTGGACCTCAAGGACCCAGAGGATTGTCGATGTGTAGGGAAGGAGGGGATTCTAGGTAGGGAAGACCAGAAGATTCTGAGAGTTCTCAGCCCAGAAGATTTTGGGTTTCTGGGGGGAAGTGTGGAATTCTTGGTCTTTACAAAGGAGGAAGTCTGGGCTTTGGAGGCTGAAAGGATTCCTCTGCCTGGGAGATTGTGGGTGATGCATGGGGCTCACCTGGTCACGGCTGCCAATGTGGCTGTAAGGCAGCGAGCCGGTCATGAGCTCATAGAGCACAACCCCATAGGCGTAGACATCCGACTGGAAGCTGTAGGGGTTCGGGTCCTGCATACGGATCACCTCAGCCGCCTTCAATAGGGCAGACCAGACCAGGCAGGGGGACCACGGAGGTCAGCCAATGGCCGGCCGCACTCCCAGATCCCACCAGCCACACTGGGTACAACTCAGATCACCCATGTGAGGCAAAGCATGAGCAGTCTAGACACCCTCATCTGGCACAAGCATTCCCATCCCCACTCAGCTCCCCCCATCCAGCCCCAGTCACCCAAGCTCCTACCCAGATGGCCCCAGTCCAGCCTGGCCCAACTCACCATCCATAGCACGGAGCCCGAGGGCTGCTCCAAGGGCTGGGCCCCACTCCACCGTGTCTTCACTGTGGCCAGGCCAAAGTCACCAATCTTCACTGTGAGCCCCTCATGTAGGAAGATGTCCACCAGGGTCAAGGGCCACTACAGGAGCTCCCAAAAGCCACATCTCCCATCCTGACTGGGCGGTTCCCACTGATGCCCCCACACCAGTCTTGCCCCTGACCCTGACCAGAAGCCCCCCCATATCATACAAAGTAGCTACAATCTTGACTTGGGTAGGGAACTCCCAATTATTACCCCTTATGCTACCCCCCACCCCATGACTCCTGACCAGGAAGCGCCTCAAGTGGGGCTTCAGACTTGCCACGCCCTCCACAGCTCCCAAACCTTGGACCCTGCCCAAAGTCCCCAACAACAGCACTGAAACCAGGCACAGTCTTGAGCCTGACCAAGAAACTCCCCCCCGCCTTAGAGGCCCTATTAAGCCACGTGTCACATGACCCTTCCACGCATCCCCAGAAGGCCCCCCAACAAGAGCCACCCCGCTAAGCCCCTACCCTAGCCCAGCCAGCGCACAGGGACAGGCAGATACTGTTAGACTTGAGATCTCGATGAATGATGTTCTTGGCGTGGAGGTAGCTGTAGGGGTCGAAGTGCAAGGCAGATTGGCCAGGGGGTTACCTCCTCTCCCCACCCCAAGCCTCCCGCCACCCCCCCCTTTGTCCCCAGGCTGGGAGGCTCACTCCATGCCCTGGGCAGTCTGCCGGGCCACGTCGATGAGCTGGACCATGTCGAAGCGAGTGTCGGCCACGTGCAGGTGGTGGTAGAGGCTGGAGCCCTCACACCACTGCGTGATGATGGCAAATCCCGGCCGCGTCATGAAGCCCATGAACAGCAAGATGTTGACGTGACGGGTCTTCCTACAGGCAGGGAGGGCAGTACCAGGACAGGAAGGAAAAAGAGCAACCATCACTCACTTTCGGAGCATCAGAAACGGGGCTATTCACTGCTGCCCTCTCTGTCAGCACTTCCGCCCTTTCAGGAGGCTCAGGGCCAGACTGCTGCCAGACTCAGTGCATTTGTGAGATATGCTTGATGGGCGGGGATTCCCTCCTGGTGGGGGTGGCGTATGTCCCCAGCTTCCTCAGCCGAGTCTCCCAACAGAAGCAGGAGAGAGAGACTACTGCCCCCTCCCCGCCCCTCTATCGACCAGTGGCTCTACGTCATCAACACCTGCCAACCTCCAACCCTGACTGTGACCTGGGCCTGTGACCATTTTATAGACAAGAGAGTGGAATGCCAACCTTCTTCATTGATACAGCAGCCTGATATTGAGAGATGCCAGTAAAGATACCCAGTAACGTGTGACTATTTCCTGTTAATTGCCACGAGAGGCTCAGAAGTATAGAGCTTGGAGTTAAGACTCAGATTAGATCCTGTGTTCCAATCCAGGCTTCCCCAGGTACTCACTGTGCAACCTCAGGGATGACACTTAACCTCTCGGTGCCTCACGTTCCTCAACTGCAAAACTATGATCATTATATTAGCTACCTTATAGGGATATTGGCAAGAATGGGAACCAAATGATCTGTAAGGCACTTGGAACAGCACCTACCAGAGCTAAGCACCCTGAAAATGTCACTGTCCTCGTTATTGCCACTGGGTGCCTGAGTCTACCTCAAAGAAACTGCATCACGGTGAACCGCTCTGGTTTAGGAGGACACCTTCCCTCCTTACAAAAGGAGTCACCGCAGGTATAATGGCAACACAAATGCGAACACCGACAGTGCTCTGTGATTTTGCTCATGTCACAGTGGGTAACGGAGGACAGGAGCACTCTTCACAGTGGTCCGATTACGGTTAAAATATTAATGTGATGCAGGCTAGCAGTGGGCTCCAATCATTTCACAGAGAGGAAGAGAATAAAAGTTTTCTTACTGTGGTGTCCATAATGAGGATAAATGTTAAAATGGCACAAGAAATGATGAGAACATCAACTCTGTAATGTACCTGTACCCATTGGCCAGAGGGCTGGCCCACATCAGCAAGCCCAGGAGTGGTCGGTAGTAACCAGAGTGGCAGAAGAGGAACACCAGGGCTTCTCAGGGCAAATGAACTGATACAGTATGAGGGGCGTATTAAGCAGAGAATTACAACCGTTAATGAAACAAGGACATAATCAAGTGAAACAACACCCACCATTCTTTAAATCATGGCAGGACTGTGATTAGTAACAGGAGTCCAGCAGGATAAACCTACCGCTCTCAATGCAACACAAGCAGAGGGGAAGGAGGGGCCCGAGGCTTCCTGGCAATGTGCTTAACATCAAGCTATGAATGTGATGGCACGTGGTAACATGGCCGGCCTCGGCCATACCCACTTCAGTGCCGGGCAAATAAGAAGATGCACGTTTTGGAGGCGGAGACATTAGTTAATATCTGTACCAAACGGAACACAAACAGTATCATCATCAGAGGGCCTTGAAACAAAGCCATTTCCCAGAGGGGAAAGGGACATTCCCTGATTGAGAAAGAGCTCATTAACACAACGCAAACACCGCTGACCTGCGGGAAGTGCCCCAGCTCAGCCCTTCCCCGGGGAGGCGCCCCGTCCCTTTGCCCCGCCCCACACGTGTCATCTCACCTGAGCACCTGCATCTCGTTCTTGAAGGCCTGGGCCTGCTCAGCTGTGGGTTGGGCCACCTTGAGCACCTTCACGGCCACATCGCCATGCCACCGCCCACGAAACACAGTGCCGAACGAGCCTGTCCCGATCCTCTTCAGCAGCTGCACCTCGCTGGGCGGCACCTCCCAGTAATAGCCCGAGTCCCGGTACCCCAGATTCTTCTGTGGGCCACATGGCTGGCATCTCAGGGGCCTGCCCGCTTCCCTCCCCACTCAGGCTGTGGCGCCCCCAGCAAAGGCTCCCCTGGAGCTTACCACTTTCTTCTTGTCATCGGCCAAGGACTTCCGCTCCCGCTGCTCCGACGGGGACTTGGAATGGGGGGACTTCCTCCCCGAGGGCACACTGGCTGGGCTGGGGCTCCCCCGGGGGGGCTCCATCACCACCTCTACTACCGGCAGCTGCGATCATTGTGGGGGAGGTGTGAGCAGAGGTGGCACGGGGGTGAGGGGGTGCGAGGCATGGGCATGGGGTGGGTGGGGTGGACTCACCATCGGTGCCAAAACTCTGGGTAGTGAGCTGGAAGAAGAGGGCCGGAAGTCAGAGAGGGCACACGGGAGCCAAGAGGAACGGCTCTCTCCTCGGCCCGGTGCCCTCGGGCAACGACCCCCTTGCCACCAACCTGGATGAGGCTGGAGTCCGTGGCGGCTGTGGTGCTGACCATGTGGACGTTGGGAGTGGATGTGGAGCGGATGCGCTGGAGCGGGGCGTTGGCCGGCGCAGGGAAGGGAAAGTGCTCGGGGTCTCGGTGCGGGGCGCAGGAGCTGGAGGGGGGGTAAAGGCTGGGAAATCACTGTGGGATGAACACGAGAACAAGGAAAGCTGCCCCCCAGCCCTGTAAACGTATGTGTAGATCAGAGTCACCATCTGCTGTTACTATTGCCATTCGTTTCCTCAAGAGCCACTTACTGGGGGCCTGCCCTCTGGCAGAGAGCATTCTAGGTAGTGGAAATAAAACCATGGGCAAAACGAAAACAAGTTCTTGCCCTCGTAGGGCTGATGTTCCAGTGAGGAGAGAGCGCCCCCCCCAAAAAAAGAAGAAGAAGAATATTTAATATGTCCATTGGTGACAGGTACAATAAAGAAAAAAAATGAAGCAACACAAGGAGACAGAAAGTATCATGGGTGATATCTGGAAAGGCTTCCCCAAGGGGACATCTGAGTAAAGACCTAAAGGAGGAACAGCAAGCCACACAAAATAGGGGGGAAGAAAGTAATATGTATTATCTTCTAACTGTGAGCACTACTCAAATATGTTTTATCTGTATTAAGATACCAATGTTTCCAAATATGTGTATTGCAGTAACATTACACAGCAGACCCTTGAACAATGTAGGAATTAGGGGCACCACCGACCCCCTGCCCAGGTGAACGTCCATGTGTAACTTCTGGCTCCCCAAAAACTTAACCACTAAGAGCCTACTACTGACCAGAAGCCTTAGTGATAACATAAACAGTCGATTAAGCATGTATTTTGTATGTTTTATGTATTATATACTGTATGCTTATGATAAGAGTAAGCTAAAGAAAATGTTTCTAAGAAAATCATAAGAGAAAATACATTTATAATACTGCACATAAAAAATCCACGTGTAAGTGGACGCACGCAGTTCAAGCCCATGCTGTTCAAGGGTCAACTGTGTATGTTATATGTAGATGTAAATACATAAAGATGTATGTTATATATATTTTGATGTCACAAATGCATTTTTATTTTTAATTTTTATTGTATCTATTTTTTTAAAGATTTTATTTATTTATTTGACAGACAGAGATGGCAAGAGCAGGAACACAAGCAGGGGGACTGGGAGAGGGAGAAGCAAGCTTCCCGACAAGCAGGGACCCCAATGTGGGACTCGATCCCAGGACCCTGGGATCATGACCTGAACCGAAGGCAGACACTTAATGACTGAGTCACCCAAAAGCCCCACAAATGTATTTTTAAATGTTCCTTTCACTATCCTGAAATGAAATGCATAGGTAATCCACATATATGCATAATTAAAAGTAACATAATACCCTATACTATTTTATGTTGCATAAAAATGTGTTTTATATTATATAGTGTACATAGAACACGATATATTAATATAATGTACCATATGAATACATCCTACAATATACAGACAAATACAATGTATATTTTATAAATTTGTGCTTAGAGCAATAATATACTTTAATATAGAAATACTGCAGTATTGGAGCGCCTGGGTGGCTCAGTGGGTTAAGCGTTTGGCTTTGGCTCAGGTTGTGATCCCAAGTTCCTGGGGTTGAGCCCCACATCAGGTTCCCTGCTCAGCGGGAAGCCTGCTTCTCCCTCTCCCACTCCCTCTGCTTGTGTTCTCTCTTGCTGTCTCTTTCTGTCAAATAAATAAATAAAATCTTTAAAAAAAAATACTACAGGGCGCCTGAGTGGCTCAGTGGGTTAAGTCTCTGCCTTCAGCTCAGGTCATGATCTCAGGGTCCTGGGATTGAGCCCCACATCGGGCTCTCTGCTTGGCAGGGAGCCCACTTTCCCCCCTCTCTCTCTGCCTGCCTCTCTGCCTACTTGTGATCTCTGTCAAATAAATAAATAAAATCTTTAAAAAAAAATACTACAGTATTATAATACTGAACATAAAAGAGAAATAAAAGGGAATTTACGATAAAAATAGTATGTATTTCAAAATGGAAAGGCTTGAGCATGATTATACTGTAAGAATTAACAAAATAGTTAGATACTTATATATATGTCCTTGTAATTAATAAGGACTTCTTATTTTCTACCAGATCTCGTTCTAAGCACTGGATACACCTTAACACATTTAAATTCTCACCAGAACGCTATGTGGTAAAAAGTATTATTATCCCCTCTTTGTAGATGAGAAAACTGTAGCCCAGAAAGATTAGGTGACTTGCCAAAGGTCCTATACGTACTCAATAAACGTGTGCAAATAAACAAATGAATGAAGTACAGCTTATGATCTACAAAGGCCTCCAGATCTTTTTCTCCCGACAATAGTCCTTCAGCTAAGGCATCCCTACCTGGGACCCTGAGGGGTTAGTGGCTCATTCAGGGGACGGTTCGAGGGAACCTCGTGCTGTCTGGAGCCTCCGGACAAATCCTGGACACTGTGGTAGAACCTTGAGAGCATTTAAGGGGATGGAGCAAGAGGACAAGGGTCAGCTATCTGTAAGAACCCTGTGGCGTCTGTCATCCCCACTCCCCCACCCACCATAGGCCAGGCTCACTGTCGGCAGTTGGTGCTCATGTCAACACAGACTGTGGGGACTTTAGAGGAACAATGCTGGTGGAACTTGTAGCCACAGGTTTGGCAGCGGAAGCCGTGGAACAGAAACTTAAGGCAGAAGTCACAGAATGCCAGGCTGAAGAACGTCTTCCGTACCTGCTGCCACAGAGCAGGGAAAGTTGAGGCCTTGTCAAGGAACCTCCCCGCTCCATGCCCACAGTCTGCCCCGACTCTCCACTCCACACTCACAAAATTGTGCATGGTCAGTGGAACATCTTCGAGGACCTCTACAATGAGCTCCTCTCCATCCAGGGGGGCAATGGCCGTGTCCCAGGCGGTGACTGTCTTTCGCCTGTACGAAACATGGAACGCAGTGAGTGAGAGGGTGGACAGAGATCGTGGGAGGAAGGGAACCCCCAAAAGTCCCTCCACACCCACCATCCATGGAGCAACATCTGACGTGTTTCATTTTCATCATGGCAACTCTAGGAACTAGTTACTATCCTTGCCCCCATTTTACAGATGAGAAAACGGAGGCTCAGAGGGATTCAAGTCACTGGCCCAAGGCCACAAAGGACTGTGAGTGGCTGGCCAGCGTCAAGAGTCCATGCTCTTAACCACAAGGTGAGGGGGAATAAGCCACGAAATCTCAGAAGCACTCAGCAAGCCCCTGAAAAAATGGCCGACCGGCACTGAGACGACAAATAAAAAGCCATGTGGGCATGGAATAAAACAGTTCAGGAAGCCCAGGACAGAGGAATAAATGGAAGGCTGGCATGGCCCAGCTCGGCAGACCGACCGAGAATGAGGAAGCGGAGGACGCAGAGAGCTGGCAAACAGATGAAATCGTGAAAGAACACCACAGACGAACTCCCACATGGGGTACAGGAGCTGGGCAAGGACCTGAGGGCCAAGGAGAGACGAGCTGCTGGCCTCAAAGGCCGATGAATGATGACGTTATGAAACAAAAGCTGCACGCACTCGTGGATTCACTGAGCTTAAGGAAAGACTAACAGGGCACTACACGACAGAGGGAAGGAGTCAGGGGCCTCCGAGGAGGGGATGGGAGGCTGGGGAGCCCAGTGGAGGGAGGCGAAGTGGTGGGGTGGGGGCACACTTACCCCTCGATGAGCCGGTAGACCACACAGCAATCCTGATTGAGACCCCGTACCTTGAGGGCCTTGTCTAGAGAGTCGTAGACACTCATGCCATCCCGGACAGTCACCTATGCATTTGTGTGTGCACACAGGGGATGGAAGGGGTGGTCAGTACCCAACATGGGCCCCAGCCGACTCTGCCTGGCCTCTGTAGAAGCCTCCTCCCCCCCACTCCCAGTCACAACTGGATCCGCCCCGACCTCCTGCCAGCTTTGCCCGTCAGACTCACCACCGTGCGTTGCTTGTTGGGCAAATATACTTTGACAGTGCCCACTGCCCGGGACGGCTCGGCCCCGTTGGCAGAGGGGCCCCGTGGTGGCTCCATGGAGCCTAGGACTTTGTCAAGACGGGTTGAGGTGGGGCTGAGCAGGTGCCATGGGGCTCCTAGAACACAGGAGGAATTCAGAGGTCCAGTAATGACAGTCTGGAAGCAAAGTGGCAGGGACAAAAAAAATTTCAATGTCCAGGCTCCACATCACCCCCTCCCCGCTGTTGCCCAATCTACACACAAAGGCCAAGGGATCTTGTAAACACCTCGAACTCGTCCAGTCTCTCCTCTGCTCAGGCTGCTCTCCTGTTGTTTGTTTCACTATTTTAAGGGCCAAGGTCTAGGATTCACTGCATAGGGTGGGGGCAGAGGAGAGGGGAGTAACGCCACAAGGAGAGGCAGCACATACTGTCCTGGAGTGCACAGGCATACCCAGTCTCTGTGCTGGGGGGGTGGGTAACAAGGAAGTCAAACCACACTGCAGTTGGGCGTGTCACGTCCATAAAGGACATGAACAGACTGTCCTGGCTTTTTAATGGAGAAAGGGTGGTTACCAGATACTGTGGTGAGGGAGGAGTCACAGACAGGATGATGGGAAAGAAATGGAAGAGATCATCAGATACTGCCCTTAGTTGGGGGGAAATGGGAACCGCACCAAACGGTGTTCTTAGGGGCCCTGGGGGAGTCCCTAAGCCCTGGGCTGTAACGATGGCAGGCTCTCAAACACTGTTAGGTGGCTAATGGCTGTCATCAGACTATGATGGGGACTTCATAGGGGCTCAGCAGAAACTGTGCTGAAGGGACTGTAGTGGGGATAAGTATGGAAAATGGACATCACCAAACACTGTCATGGGGGAATGGAGGGAAATGGTGCATTACCAAACACTATCAAGGTGAGATAAACAGGTTGAAAGCGGGGGTGGAGGGGTCCAAACTCCCCCCTAACTAATGAAGGGGTCACAGACCTATTACTGGGGACAATGGAAGGAGGCTGGGTAGGGTTAAAGAGTAACGGAGAAATCCTCAAACATTCTCCCAGTGGGTCGCGACTAGTAAACCACAGCTCCACGCACTCCCCATTGCCGGCAAGGCAGGGTCATCAAGACATCTCAAGGAGGTTTAGAGGGAATCCGGGCACACCACTGCCCAGGCCCCATTCAGCCCGGCCCCGCCTACCTTGGGCCTTCCATCTCTGCGCAGGCGCACTGCCACACGCGACGGGCGAAACCATCCCCCGCAGCCTTACACCCCTATTCCTGTCTACCCACCCCACCCCCGCTGTCGACGATGGTCTCGCCCCAGGTCAAACCACTCCTCCGGTTCCGGGCGGGGGGCGCCGGCGTCCAGGCGAAGCCATCCTGGAGCTAAGCTTTCGGTCCCGGCTCCCTGCCCGTGCCCGGCGGTCGCTCCAGAAACCTAACCCCGCCGGACCCGCCCTCACCTGTCACGCCGCTACGGCTACCGCCGCCTCCATCTTGGGCCTGTCTTCTTGTTTCCTCGCTGAGTCCGCCTCCACCGCCCCTCGGACTTTCACCATTGGCTCCGCTGGATTCACCTCCACATCCTTATTGGGTTAGGGTCACGCCTGTCAAAGCAGGACCGGCGGAATGTGGGTCGTGTTCCGGATTAGGAGGGGCTGCCCGAAACGTCAGGGTCTGAGGCAAATTCGCCTGTCCGGACTCGCGCAGGCGCAGTTAGGTGGAGCGCGCCGCGCGGTGGACTTTAACCCACATCGTGCCGTGCTGTAGTAAAGCTGGAATTTTTTTCAGCCACTTGGGGCTGACTTTAGGGGTTCTTGAATCTGGGCGGGGAATCTTTAAGTGCACTTTTTGGGGCCATTGACCCGAAGCCCTAGGTACCCATTTGGGCTTTCCCTGTGTCTCGGTTTTACCATATTTGAAGGGAGTTGCCATCAGACCGCAGAACTGCAACGTTTGCCAGTTCTAAGAAACTTGTAGTCATAGCTTTTGATAACAGCGGGTCTCAGGTCGGGCCGGGGCCGGGGTGTCTGGCCCTAGCAGAAGCATCCTGCCCCATTCTGTGCAGCTTACTTGAGGAATGGCTTTGGTAAGGATTTTGGGGGAGATTAGTCATAGACGACCATGTTAAAGAGGGGAGGTGAAGTGTGGACCTGGAATGGGGCACAGAGCAGGGGAAAGTGTGAAGACATTGTAGGGTGAAGAACTTTTCAAAAGCTGAGTTTTCCCTGGTGTCAAAAGTGAATGAGGCTTTCCATCCTCCCTTTTCTTAGAGCTTTTCCTTTAGAAAACTTGTAAAAATTTTTTCCTTCTCCCTTCCAGATGTATGTAAATCTTGTAAAAAGCTAAATAGGCCTCCTGTCCATATCATTACCCAGGAATGTTGTTCTCAAGGGCCTTGGAGCCATCTCTTTGAAGTGTAAACATCCGCGAGTCTAGTACCCTTATCTCCTTGTCTGGGTAGGAATTTGACCTAGGCTCTTGGCCCCAAGTTGTTAACCTGCTTGTCAAAGAGATAGGTGTTTTATTTTTCCTTTGGGTAAGGGCAGATGGCTACCCCGATCTCCAGGTGAATTGGAGATACACTATGGATAACAAACAGTGCTGTCAAGTTCTCTTGCTGGAGGACAAATTGCCATTCTTGAGAACGTGTATATAACGGGTCAGAGCCGCTCGCCTGAATAGAAGATGTTTCTTTCTGTCTTCCAAAGCTTTTTTTTTTTTTTTAAAGCTCTTTTTAAAAAATTTTTTTTAATTCTTTCTTAAAGATTTTATTTATTTATTTGGCAGAGAGAGATCACAAGTAGGCTCCCCGCTGAGCAGAGAGCCCGGTGCAGGGCTCCATCCCAGGACCTTGAGATCACACCTGAGCCGAAGGCAGAGGCTTAACCTGCTGAGCCACCCAAGCGCCCTTCTTCCAAAGCTCTTTAGCACATTGCTTGAGTTGCACATTGCCATCTGGTTTAATGTTTATTCAATAATAAAACTATTTCAATCTTTTCTGCCTTTGTGGAGAGGATTCACAAGCTGGCACAAGATTTTTATTTTTTAATTATTTCCCCAACAGTGTGAATTGCCTGTGGTGTCTGAACTGGCTACATTCTCCTGTTTGGAGCTTCAGCTTCCTTATGTGGTGAAATGGAAAAGAGCAAGAGAAAAGTCACTAGGTGCGGAGACGGCAACATGCTTCAGTGTGTATTTAACGTTTCTCTGCCTATAAAGAGAGAGACAAGTTTGGCTCACTGGGCTGTCATAGAACCTCCATTTTTCCACCGCCCCATTCTATTTCGGGATTTTCACCATTCAGTGGCAAAAATTAAAAAGACTAACAATAGGGGCGCCTGGGTGGCTCAGTGGGTTAAAGCCTCTGCCTTTGGCTCAGGTCATGATCCCAGGGTCCTGAGATCAAGTCCCACATCGGGCTCTCTGCTCAGCGGGGAACCTGCTTCCCCTCTCTCTCTCTGCCTGCCTCTCTGCCTACTTGTGATCTCTGTGTGTCAAATAAATAAATAAAATCTTTTAAAAAAATAAGAAGACTGACAATAAAGACCACCTGTCATTGAGAATGTGGAGCAACTAGAACTTTCATGCATTGCTATTTGGGAGTGTAAAATGGTGACCCACTTTGGAAAGAGATCGAAAGCTTCCTATAAAGGTAAACACACACAATCCAGCAATCTGACTCCCAGGTATTCAAAGAAATAAGAGCTTATGTCCAGTGATGTGCTGGTAGATGTTCAACAACCAGCTCTCCAGGAAAAAAAAAAAAACGCTCTAATTTGTAGCATTTGTCAACTATGGTGTAAACACTCCCACCATGACTTATTTCAAGCTAGGAATATGACATCGCTTAACCACCGTTGAGATTTGCAAAATCAGCTCAGTGAGCCATTCACAGCATGCGATTGCAATATGTGCACACAAAAACTTGCACGCAGATGGCCATATTAGCTTTATTCATAATAACAAAAAACTGGAAACATCCCAGGTGTCCAGTAACTGAAGAACTGACAAGAGACTCAACGGTGGGATCATGGAATACTACTCAGTAGTGAAACAAACTACTTCCTATGTCTCTGAATCTTGTAGACATAAGGTTCAGTGAAAGAATCCAGAATCAAAGAAGAAATATTGTATTATTCCTTTTGCATGAAATTCTAAGTCAGGCAAAACTAATCTACAGTGAGGGATTTTCAGACTAGTTGTTATCTTAGGGGAAAAGAACTCGGAAGCGTATGAGGAAACTTTTGGAGGTGATTGGGCTGTTCAGTATGAATCTGTCCAAACCACTGAACTCTGTACTGAAACTGGGGACATTTTATTTTATGTAAAGCATACCTCATAAAAAAAAACGCATGGCAAAGAAATGGCTTCAAACATAATTCCAAACATCGTGATTTCTTGCAAATTCTTACTGGTTAGAGAATTTTTTTCTTTTCTGAAATTGAATCCCTGGACCCCAAATTTCCATTTCTCAGTCCAAGAGCCCTGGCGCCCACCTCAGCACCACATGGGGTCAGGAACAACTATTGGAGCTCGGCGAAGGGCTCCAAAATACTCCAACTAAGAATAATTTCCAGGGTCGGGGAGATACATTTTAAATTCCAATTCACTGAAATATTATTCAGTTATATATTATTAAATTTGTTTAAAATTTTTAATTTCTAGGCAATATTTGAAGACAGACTTCCTGGCTGTTGCTCGACCATTGCAAAGAAAATCCCTCCATGAAGTCACTGCACAGGTGCCAGGGGATGGGGTGGCAGGGAGGAATGGATGGTTCTCTCCCGAGGACTCATAGACTCACTTCAAACCTATCCTAACTGGCACGACTTTAGCCAAGTGTCTCACAGGTACCTAACAAAATATGAAGGCCTTTAAAGTGATTGAGGGGGAGCCTGGGTGGCTCAGTCATTAAGCGTCTGCCTTCGGCTCAGGTCATGATCCCAGGGTCCTGGCTTCGAGCCCCACATCAGGCTCCCTGTTCAGAGGGAGGCCTGCTTCTCCCTCCCCCACTCCCCCTGCTTGTGATCCCTCCCTCTCTGTCTCTGTCTCTGTCAAATAAATAAATAAAATCTTAAAAAAAATAAAGTGATTTGGGTTTTTAACATCACTGTCATCATACATTTAAAACCATCAGAAGCACCATGTATTAAAACTAAAATTAAAACCGGAACTAGCTGATAATGATTTTTTCAAAATTACCCACCTAGAAATTTTAAACGATTTAAAAGTGGTTGTTGGTTTTTCTTATTGTTGATTTAAAAGCCTTAGAAACGTGTCTAAAAAAAAAATTACAGGGCGTCTGGGTGTCTCAGTCTGTTAAGTGTCTGCCTTCCGCTTAGGTCATGATCCCAGGGTCCAGGAATCTTATCCCACCTGGGGCTCTCTGCTCATCCGGGAGTCGGCTTCTCCCTCTCACTTACCCTCTGTGCTCTCCCTCTCTCCCTCAAATAAATAAATAAATCTTTAAATATATATATATGTGTATATATATATAAAGTCTGAAGTGTTCACTGACTGCTGTTGCAATGCTACCCATTTTTCAGATGAGCAAACCGAGGTTCAGGGTGCCCTAACTGGAGGGAGAGAGAAGAAAGCTCAGTCCAGGAATTCAAGTTTGATAAAACTGTTCAACAAGGGTGCAGGCCAGGGACACCTCCTTAAGGAATCTTGGATCCACCCCAGCAGTCCTGACTCGCTGAAGCCCGCCTCCAGAACCTGCTACGCCCATTTCCCAAAGCCAACGCCCTTGACTCCCGCCGCCGCCGCCGCCTTGAGAATGACACCTCTGAGACCCGATCGCAATGCCTCTCTCAGCTAACCATTTCGGAAGAGATGACCGCGCATATAAACATTTCACTGAGGAGGGGGACTTGGCTGGGCGCCCCTCATGCTTAACTCAGGACCCTCACCTATCGACTCCGCTAGGCCACTCCGCCCTCCAGCCCTCGACAGGCGTCGAGATCAGCCAATAGCAATGGAGAGGAGGTTGGGCTTTGGGATGCCGCGGGCATTGATAGGTTCTACCTCAACTCCTGGGGTTTAAGAATGAGAAGGGAGGGGACGTCGGGAGGCTGAGGAGCCACTGACAAACCAATAGCTACGCAGAGGAGGTGGGCTTTGGGCCATCCCAGCCAATGGGAGGTGATGCAAGCCTGAGACTTACTACAAACTAGCAACTTAACGTTAACTTTTAAATTAATGGCAATGCATCCGTAATCGGGTCCCTCTAAAGCAGAGTGTGGACGTTTCCACTTCTGAATATTCCTGGAAGAGATTTTTAATATACAACCCAGGGGTAAGAAGTGTGAGGAATTCACATGTGAACCAAAACATTACTTTTAACATAAATTTTCCTCATTAAAAAGTCGAACAAAATGCTTTGAGCAGGAATTTGAATTTGCTATCCCTATGATCCAAATGGATGAAAAACACCATTAAACCAACACGGGATTCTTTTGTTTAAAAAAAAAAAATTTGAGTTCATTATATGCTACATATGGCATTCCCATGCTTTCATAAAATTAAACAAACGTGCTGGTTTATTATGTATTTTCAATCTCCAAAGG